TTGTGTCAAGGACCGGCTCTCAGAATGCAGACCGCACACGGTAGACCAGCAACTAGATATTCAATCAAATTTGTCCGAAAGATCTTTTCGTTTTGACCTACAAAAGAGCACGCGCATAAGATGCGCAAACGTTTTGAACACTATTCAACGCGGTTTTGCTTCACCGTTTCAGCAATCATATCTCCTAGTTGATCTTGTAGTCACTTAAAGAATCGCAAAATTTTCGTATTTTTTACGTTGTCCAAATTTGGCAAGTTTTGCAATTTTCATGTCAAACTTTAAACAAAGTCTAATATTGTGTGTGTATGTGTGTGTGTATATGTGTATGTGTATATGTGTGTATGTGTGTATGTGTGTATATGTGTACGTGTGTATATGTGTATATTAGGTTGGCACATAAGTAATGCACCTTTTTATATAACTTTTGTCTATTTGAACGTAGCGCATTCATTTTTTGGCAATATAAGTAATATGATGTAAGCTTCTAATTCACACATTTTTGCCGAATTTTACCATCTTATGTGAGGATTACGGTAGGTTTACGGTACTATGGGAAAAATTTTAGAATGCATCAGATTTTGCTGAAACTTGACCTGTAGGGCTTATTTGACATGCTGATCACAAAAATGAGGTCCGTTTCGCATGAAAAGGCCTCGTTCGTGAGATCAAAAGATGAATTTCATTTTAGCGACAAATGAACATGATATTCGTGTTTACCGCATAGGATTACCCTATAGTGCAAAGTTATAGCGAATTCTGACTTTTCGCAGCTTAGTTATTGACAAATTGCTTTCAAAACTTGACGCATTTGACTTGTTCAACTTCTCAAAGGCGCCCCACCTTAATTTGTGCTTAGATTTCATTTCTTTTTCACTGATTCCAATGTGCCAACTTCCACCTATATGCAACTTCCACCTATATGCTGCCTATAATTGCTTTTTCATATGTTTGAATCAGGTTTCGTAGGGCTTCATGTTTGCCAAAAAATCGTGAAATTTCGATTTTCAATCAAATGGTTTGCGCAGACTTGCAGCTTACATCACGATCTACATGATGCCACAAAATGAGATTGCTACATAAAATAGGAAAAAAGTTACGGGAAAAGTTGCAAAACTTATGTGCCAACCTAATATGTGTTTGTGTATATGTGTATATGTGTATGTGTGTATGTGTATACACATATACACACATACACATACACATATACACACACGTGAATGTATGTGTATGTGTATACACATATACACACATACACACATACACACATACACACATGCACACATACACACATACATACACACACAGAATGCCAAGGATTTGTAGATAGTAACATTTTTGTTACACTTGCAATGACCATTTCTAGAAAGTGTGTTATTTTGAATAAAACTCGAAATTCGAAAGCGGAAAACTTTTAAAGCAATCCTAAAGATGATAAAGCAAATAACGAGTGATCTTGCTTGTTCGAGTATGAATTCAATTTACTTTGCAGTTAAGTACCTCGTTTCTTCAATGTGATTTTTTCACTCATTTTTGCAAAAGATTAGATACGTGCAGAATATATGTAAGCTTCATAATTTACGCCAAGTGATACCTACATAAGGTGATGACGAATACACTTATAATTCTTCATATGTTGAAAACCTTCACGCAGATCCTTCGGCGAGGGTAAAGGATGAATAGAAAACACTAATGGGTCCTTTGACGAACTGCATTTCAATGGCCTTTGCCAAAAACCCTGCAAAAGCTCGACATTAAAATAGCTTTGATCTACTTTACATTCCTTCGACAAAACAATCAGTCTTACTCTTTTCGAGGATCAAATGAAGATTTAAAAGTTATTATATGGCATACATCAAGCCTGAATTTGGCGAAAAAATTTTGCGACACGCAAAAAAATTACACTGCATCAACTAGGGGCTTTCTGAGATAAGAGATAAGGATTTGCTGATTCCAGATCTGATCTCAATAAAACTTTGTAAACATATCTATCATATCGTGACCTTCGCGTCGGCGGTCTTTATTCGCGTTATTCAATAGTATCAATCTCTTGCAGCTCTTTTTCAGCATTTTTTTCAATGCGCATGTGTCCGGCCCGCCTTATCTTGCTTTATTTGGCGGCGGCAGCTTCTTTGAATTATGTTCGTTAACGATAAAGCCCATATTACTTTCCTCATTTGCGTGAGAGGGTATATTCTGCTTCCTCATTCTTCATGCATCTAAAGTGTACTTAAAAGCAAGAAGGATCGTTGAGTTGAAGAGCGAACGCAAGCCGGATGTTCTTGGTTTTCTTCACTACGTCCTCAACTGTCCTACGCTCCCCATACTGCTCATTTTCTCCTATTCAATTCTGGAAAGATAGGTCATCCTCGTACTGTCGTCCCGACCTGAGTAGGTTCGTCAGCATTCGGTGATGTTCAGCTTGTTGGACATCACATCGATGATGATTTCTATTTCAGAGCTTTGCATGAAGACTGGCGAAAGATTCTTCAGATGTTGTCACTTGTTTCTTGGGACCAAGGCTGTACGATTCTTGAACGACCGATAGCTCAATGATTCTCGGAGAGAAGAACAGACGGTGCGACATGATTCTCCTACCTAAGGTGGCTTAAGAGCAGGTGGACGTGGGTATGAAATAGATCCGAGTACAAGTCATAGATGAATTTCCACAATGACCTTAGGGAAACAGTTTTGGCGGCGAGGCGCGGTCAACTTCTTACTGAAATTGAGGCGCCGTTGCGTGTACTTCTCTCAGTCTCCGCAGCATATCTTCACTAGTCTCATATCTTTGAGATCTTCTCGCATTATCGTTTCTCTCATGGCTTTGCAAGTACGAATGTCAGTCAGCTGTTGTCCGTGGCTCGTGCTCGTCCAAGTTCGCGGATCAGCTCCAGAGTCTCAGATGAAAGTCTGGCACTATCCAGACTCTTGGATTCTTTAGCACAATCATGGAAGTGCTGAACGAGCCGTTCATATCCTTTGTCGATATTGTCAATTACGCTATCTCGCTGAGCCGAATATCGAAGAAAATAGATCTCAATTAATGATAGTCCTGGGAGAATGTTTCCCAAATTTGAACGCTATGATATCGTGAAAAGTAGAACTTGGCACTAGAAGGCAATGATCTGATCCCGTGTAGAATTTCCGAACAACAGCGATGATAGTTAGACAATATTATGTGTTGATGATGATGTGTCTATCCCTCAAACTTTATTGCGAGCATCCGTCCACGTACGACTAAACAAGGTCACTTGCGAGGCGCCTTTGAGTGTCCGAAGCGACAGTTTGTTAGGCTGCTGCATACGTTCTGTTTGATTTGAATTTTCGAATTCAAAATTTCATAACTGTTTTCAAAGTTGACTTTTTTCCATGATCTTAGTTTTTGTATCTCGGCTATCAGGGGAACTGTTAAGCGGTTCGTTAGCTATCGGAGAGGTACTATATCATGCGAAAAATCCTGTTAGAGAAGAATCACGACTTACACAAACTTTAACGTTAGACAGCAAATTTTACAAGCAGGACGTATTCTTCATAAAATCGAGCTCATGCATATGCTAGCCTGTTACATCCTTACTTGGCAACCCAAATAAAGGACTTGACTTGAAGGACGCATTGTAGAAGTTTTCTTGCAAAAACATTTTTGTATCTCGGCTATCAGGGGATGTTAGGCCTGCAATCTCGTTAGACTGAGGAATTTACTGAAATTTGATATGCATCAGTGCAAGAAAAGCAAATTTTGATGGTACAAACATTATCCTATTTAAAGGGGAATTATATCAGAACAGCTGCATTAGATATAAGGCAAAAAAACCAGACAGAACTTATGCAGCAGCCTCACTAAATGATAGCCCAGCATGCATCTGATAAATGGATATGCGTACGGTGACAGGCCCGATACGTGTTCGGTATCCCATTGAAACCCTGTTTTCATCGTATTCAGCTTCGCGTAAAAGTAACGATCTACATGTATATTGACGCCCTATTTTGTCGTAAGGTCTAGTTCACTCTTGTGGGATTTCCAGCATTTCGATCCCAAAATGAAAGAACGCCAAAGAGAAATCCTGCTTTAGTGCTTGTCAAAAACCGAGATGCGATAACCAATGCTTCATTCTTTGGAGGTAGCCTTGTCGAGGCGTATGCCTCGAGTAAATTTTCCATACAGCGTGTAAGAAATGTGGAGTTCAGCACGGCTTGGGGCTTACCAAACTGATTTTATTGCCGCAGTCTGAAAGAGCCGAGTCCTGCTTGACAACAATGTTCATTTCGCTCATTGAGCATGGGAACTGCTAGGTTATGGGTGTTACTTATAACAAACATTTAGGGCCTGCTACATTTCTTACAATTAGTCGACAATAATAAACCGCAGACCGTCAAGCAGATAATAAAGCAGTCGGCGGTCAATCCACATTTTACGCATACGCACAGAAAAAGCAATTCGGGACCGCAGTGTTCGCAACATTTGTATGTGTTCTTCTATGCAAGCAACAAATACCATTAAATTTCAGCTACACTAAATCTTGATAGTTTGAGTAAAATACTCATATAGGTAGAGCAACAAGGAATAATTGTGTATCGCCTCTGACGCACTAGCTCTACTCGATGTCTAGAGGGAAGATTACCTGATTTCTACAGTTTCTATTTGTTGGTCTTATGTGTACATCTCCTTCTAAAAAACTCACCAAAACTTTCTTTCAAAGATATAAGTTTTGACCCAATTCGAAAGCTAAGCAGTGGCGTTGTGAGAAAAGCCAAAACAAAATGGTAATTAATCCATTCATTATAGGTAAGGATCGGAATATCGACTTTGTTTTGAGATTTATAAAAAATGGAGCAGATCTTGCTTTTGAAAATATTTGAAGCGAATCAGATCAAAATCAATGAAACTTGGTACAAAATCGATTTGGGAACATTCTGGCAAAAACCTTTCATTCTTCCCTATAACGATAACCTAAACAAAGGTTATCAAAATCTCAAGTCGAAGTCGTCAAGGATCTTCATTACATTCATGTAAAATTAGCTGTAATCAAACATACCGAGAAACTGCCCCATATCAGTAGCACGTTATCTTTCCAGTTTTCTCGCGGAACATTAACTTTTTCAGCAATGATTCCAGTAAAGAGGACATCCTGAATGAGACATGTAGTACGTTGGCCTAAAGGGCCGGGCATACATCATTCGATTTTATCGCTTCAAGATTCCTTCTAACAAGACAACTGTGAGTCCATTGCATGTAGATCAACTTGCATTTCTGTTATAATAGTCAGCCTGTCATGTAGGAAAATTATCACAACCGAGATGCAAGATGATCGACATGCAACGAATTGGTAACATTTGTCTTGCTGTGACAATCGCAAAGCGATGTTGCGTGATGTATGTCCGGCTTTAAGTTAGCAACAGGGAAAAGATCGCGCAATCTCTCATGCGAGGAAGGAAGAGTTTGACCCTTAACAGCGCCTTCAAGCGTTGAAATCTGCTCTTTACTTATGGAGCATGAGGTTTGAAGTTGTAAGGTTATGGTTATCACAACTGAAGATGCCGGCGTGCCTGCGACATTTGCTTAGCATGCCGCTACTATGCCACTCGCTGCCAACGGCATGCCGCCGGCACGCCGATGCTGACTATTCGCGGGAACTTGATTTCTGCCCCAGAAAAACAAAAGCCTTGTTTATAAACAACATGCAATCATATGACACCAATTTTGGTGTGTGCATGCGCGTTGGAAGAGGAAGGGGGCAAAAAGCTATAGCCAAAAAATTCATGAGAACTTATGTGAATGAAAACTGTGCTAAACATTTCTCTGAATTAGCTGGCACTATGCCAGTTGGGGGCCAGCTGAGTCGGCACCGACCCTTTGCTCGCATAAATTCACATACTTTTTTTACATAAGTTGTACCTACACTGTAAATGTTTACATGCAAAAAAAACGATTACATAATGTTTCTGTTTTTGGCGTTTTATAGCCACCTGAAGATTTCTTGTTCTGCTCCGCAGCCGAAAAATCTTCTCCAATCGCAAGCGCGCCCTAAGCAAATGCAAAACAGATCAGAACGAACTTCGTACGATATTTTCGGGATCAAAGAGGACTTTGTTTCGAAGTTTCTTGGGTGCCAGGCTGTGCCGAGCTTTGGGAAAGAGCATAAAATGACATTGAGTATAGGACAAGAAAAGACTACACACGCTGTGTCGATCTTAAACCGTAGTTCACGATGTTTCATTGGATACCTTATAAACTGGACTTTTGGGTGCTCATATTTTTTATTTGAAAAAATTCTTAGCAGCCAAGAAAAATGTTAGGAAAGCGTTTAGAATGCCTTTAATGATATGCATCTTTTCACGAGCAACAGTGCGCCTCGATGTTTTAATGTATGACTGTTGCTTCTAATTTCAAGAATTGAAGTTTTTATCTTTTTCTTTGCCGTACAGGTTTGTTATGAAGTTTTTATGTTCATGCTAAAGATGTGTCGTCAATGAAAGAGATTAACGAGAGGAGTACTACAATTGGTATATTTATAAATTAAATCATACTCAAGTCATCATATCGTACGTCTAATGCTGTAGAAATTTTAAAAATCATTAATTAGGTTAGACCTTCATTTGTAGGCAAGCACTGGTCAAGAGTCTCAAGCCCGTTTCCCACTTCACTAAGGTTTAAAGTAATTGTCAGTGAAAAATCTTTTGATCTACGCTGACTATGTGTGAAGAAATTCTATCATTTTCTCAGACTAGGTTTTTTGAAGTGAATAGAATTTTGGATGACTTTGATTTCCGAAGCTATAGTGAATGTTCCGAAGCCTCAAGATGTTGGCCACTGACATGAAGATAGATAGCTCTTGATGTTGTTAGTCGGACTATGGTCGCAAAACGTAATCCTTTTCAAATCCTTTCGATGGGAGATTGCGAACCCATAAACGACGAATAATTTTGCTTGCCGGCGCCAAGCGACAAAGCGTTTTTGCACAACACTTTCGCCGTGTGAAGGTTTTGTGGTTACTTACGAAATGCAAGGTTATTTTGTAAACAACTACGAACATTTTTTGAAATACGAAACCTACAGGTTCCAAAAGCGAAAAAAGTTGGAAAATTCTAATTTGGAAGAACTAATAGACCTACAAATGGTATGAGTTTGCAAAAGCTGTGAGCCACCTATGGTTCACATCTTCCCTGGCAAAAAAGTGCATGGGCCACCGGTGGTCCACATCATCGTCAATGGATTAGTGGAGTATAAGGCGTCGTCAATCGGTCAATAGCGTATGAGGCAATTTGTTCAAAAAATAACAATCAATCAAATACTGCGAGTATCTGTCAAATTTCAACTGTCAACTTCTTCATAATTGTACCTCTAATCTCAGCGGTGCAAAGAGATGCGCAGAACTGAGTATGCGCCATCCAGCATCTTTACCCATTACGTACATAGGACCACTGCAGAAAGGCGGATAGAAGGGTTGTGACCAGTCATCGTACGACAAGAACCTGAGAAACAGAATATAATGGTATTAGTAACAATTGTTCTCTCAATATTGCAATAACAAAAGAGATTTTTTTTATACTTCAGGCTAATTTTTTTTTATTCTGCGAGTTGAATGCCCAAAACAACTATAATTTTCAGCCAAAGCACGCACTCATACATCCAACTATGTATAACCGAGTTGGAGGAATGTAACTATACAACTTGTGTTTTTATACTTTTCAAAAAGTTTATACCATATTCGTGCGCAATGTCTTTATTATAAAGTCGCAATTACATCACGTTCACGCTATTGCTATCCTTCACGTTACGACATAAGAATCAGATAGATAATAGATACACGTGGATCGGATTTATTGTTAACTTCATACAAAATTTCAGGGTAAGGATAAAGCAAAAGTTAAACCGTGAGCTTCGCTAACTTCGTAGCTTATGACTTCATTGGCTATAACAAATAAGACAGGAACAGAGTAGCGAACCAGTTAGTATGGCATATTTAGATTTGGGAATCTAAGGGAAAAGGGGGGTTTTTCAAACACGTCTATACGTTCAACGCAATACTCAAACAGCCCGTGTGAGAATATGCTTTTCAAAATCTACGTGGTTGAACATTACACTACCCAAAGCATTTTTGGGAAACCATGCTTCTATGCACAAAATGGTGAAAATGACTTCACAGATAATGATGTGGCACCAAACTGGTATGGTAACGGATGAGAGCTAGAAGGCACTAACTCCCACTTTTACAGAACTTTGGGTTCGAAGCAAATGGCAAGCTTTTTACTGAAAAATCTCTACCACCGAAGATGGAAAAAAATGAGTCGTACACAGCGTCAAATTAGGGTGAATTTGAATTCAGCGTATATGGGCAGTGGGAGTAAGAAGAAAGTATGATATCACAAAAAGAATGAATGAATGAAGAGCGTGCCCAGCTTTTGCCTCCATGAAGACGGCAATTCACGTAAATTTTTCATAATTTTCACACAAATTTATTCTAACAATGCTTACTGTATGTATCCCCTTTCGTTCGGGGTACGGGTAAAAAGTCACTTCTTTTCGCGAAAAGACGAAACGCGACGTCAAGCAGTAAAGGCCTGAGTTCCCGTCAGCACACTCCTGTCGCAATGCTACTTATGGCATTGGTTCATGTACCACCCCTACAGTGGCGGAGAGCGGTCACCGCGCGCAGTGTGACTCCTGACCCGTAACCTTCGTTCGGCATCCAAAATAGGAACGTTGATTTTCAGGGGAAACCGCCCTTTAATTAGACGCCCCGATCAAAGGGAAACCTACAATTCGGAAGTGACAAAGGCGAATTCGTTTCCAGGTTTCCATATGCTGCCTTATGCCGGGAACTGATTGCATCCTCAACTACAACTATCAGTCACGGTACCATAAACTCATATGAAAGGTACCTTGTAAAATCATACGCCCTTCCACATGCGAACATCCATACGTGTTGTCTTATGACTCCATAACTTTGTGATGAAATCTCGCTCATTGAATTAAGAAAAAAAAAGAAGAAATCCGAATGACAATGACTTGAGCCCATCACCCTTTCGAAATGACTGTTGATCATGAACATGCTTTCAATACTTGTTCCCAAGTTTTATCGCAACGTTGTTTTTTATGACCGTATTTCTGCCCACTTTTTGCTATGGCCATCAACCCACACCAAAAAGGAATTGCTCCCTCAATTTTCAAGCAACGAAAGCAGTCAACTTGCATCCAATCTGCGAGTGCTGTGGAGTATTTACTGCTGAAACGTTTCGGTATTGCAGCTTTAGCAAAGGTGAATTGGATGAGGCTGTATGACATTTCAAGGCCTGATGATGATTTCATGCAGCTCTAAATGCAATTTGTTTGACGGGTTCTCGGAGTTGTTCGCTTGTATGGCAGGAACACTTTCACAATACTGCAAAACATTGGCTTTCACTTCGTCAGGTCTAAACTTTTCGAAGCAATCCTGTACCAAACTCAAGAAAGATGTAGCCTTGGCAAATGCATTACGCAGTGATGGCTCCCTCAACTGCCTTACTTTCAAGTTTGAACACAGAAAATGCAATTATTCAAAAGTCGTAATTTTATACATCAAATTTCAAGCCGCTGAACTTCCCCACAGAGCGCTCTCTGCAAGTTTGATGAGATCCTAGGACTTTTTTTTACAGATACATTTATAGCAACTCCTATCAGCCCTTGGCATTCCCTTAGAATATGGCCTGTGGTAAACCCTGTTTAGCACATTTCGGCTGGGGCGTGCCTACGTTGAACATAGAGCGCCTTTGTGTGCCGAAAGGAACAAATGAGTAGGATTGGTGAAACGGCTGAGTAACTATTATTCAATACGCGAGTCCTTAAGTTGAGGCCGGTTAGCGGTGACCGCCGTCAAGAAATGCACTTAGCAAATGAATGAAGAAAAGAAAGCAGGATTTTTTGACGAAAATTTTATGGAAAAAAGAAAATGTTGGAACATCACCGAATGAAACAAATCAAAAAGCTTTTTGAAAGAAAACGCAAACAGTCTATGAAAAAAAGAAAAGGCCCCATTTTCTTTTTTTGTCACCGCGATCAACTCTTTACCTACTAATCCTCCTTCATTAAGGTCGCCGAAATTGTGCAGTTTTGGGAGTTTTGTGCCGCCGCAGGTGCGTCAACTGAATTGTTCCGTAAGTTACTTACGAGCAACTTACGGAGCTTACGGGAATTGTGTCTGATTCTCCTCTTTTGTACACTATCTCATTTGGTTTACCAGAAACCTGCCCTCGGCCTAAATGTCATTCTGTTGCACTGATCGAGGCACTCAGCCGGGTACCCTTCTGACTGTTCAAATGACTATCCTAAAACATGAAAAGGTGGGCGGGTCTTTGGTTCACCTTGAAAAGTTCTTTTCTTCTGAATAATTCATCTCAGGCAAACTGATAGTGAAATGAATGGGGGTTTACTGCGGGCCTGCGACACCAACAGCAAAAACGCAAAAAGGAAAAAAAACCTTTTGGAAGACCTAATATTTCTATAAGTTCAAGAGTGGTGAGAACCAGGCCCTCGCAAATTGCAGGCTCAAACCTGCAGTGTCTACAATGATTAGGAAATAGCGCAAATCAAGTTTCAAATTTACACCAACCGAAGCTTGAGATTACGGCATACAAAAGTGAAAGCGTCAGATCTTGCGCATATTCATGCTGAGCAAAGCCATTGTCTATAATGTCCTTTAAAGTCGTTTGAACTATTGAATCGTAGTGGTATTATGATCGTGCGAAAATTCCAATAGATTGCTTGCAGAAACCTTTTAGCTCTAACCATAATTTTACGGAGATGTTCAGCCGTCTGCAAAATCAAATTACGCCTTTTCTCGTGAAGATTGTAAGCTCGGAAACATTAAGGACTCTGAAAATTTCCCTCTTGAAAACAACTTCTTTTTTTCTCCTGAACATTCTCAGATCTTTGATTACTGTAGAGTTACGAACATATACGGTTGTTTTTGGCAAAGCTTACCACTTGTGACTGGAATTTCTTTCTGGTTTTGATTTCGCACATACTAAACAAAATATAGATTGACTGGCTCTATCAGTCCTCTTCCATAGCTTATCCATGCGGTCAAGATGGACTGCGACATCACCGTCAACTTTCATCAGAAACTGAGCCATAGGGCAATATTCCTGATGAAAAATAAATGATGCGTAAACCTGCAACGAAAATGTCTTTGAGTTGCAGATCACTTTTGGTGTAGTTTACCTTCAAGTTTAGATTATCATAAGATTCGGACATGTTGGTAACAATCAAATCATCATGTAATTCTTGCTCTTTCTGCAGCTTATAAAGGTCACTTGTGGAAGCTGGAGAAGACATGATGAAGAAAACAATCGTGCGGCCAGTCTAAATGTTTTTGTGCGGTGGTATGTGCGCATCATCATCATTGCCTACAACGAATTGATAATTGTTCGTAGCAATGCAGTCATTCTGCTTGAATTTCACTTTTAGAATCAGTGCTCACTTCACTTAAGTCGATGGAAGCTCGTGCTGAGAGCAGGCTAAGAAAGGAAGCACCTTGATAGAATCCGACTCTTCTGCAGATGCCCAGCTTTCGCGAACGGCACGACGCATCTCGGTATGATTCGCAATAGATAACACTGTGGCTATCATGAGAGGGTTGCTAAATGCATGAAAATCGAGTAAAATGATAATTTTTAACATTATCATAATGTTCACTAGACAGATCGAAGCGGATTTTGCAAGCCCACCTGTGTTATGCAGTTATACAAAGTTATCCAAAGCCCTTTCAGTGCGCCTTTGGCAACCGCTATTTCTCAACTTACTTACTTTTTGATCTAACTAAGCCTCTGTAATACAGGGTGTCCCAAAAAAATGTGAACACTGTTTGATTGTTAATAACTTCCTTGCTTTTATGTCTTTCGCCGAGCATAAGGTACCATTTTTTAGAGCGAGGTTCAACTTAGATCTGCAGTATGGCGCGAATCGTCGATCGCTCTTCATTACTGTAGGGTTACGGTAGGAACTTTGACAAGGATTTTAGGTTATTGGAGGCCATGTTCTGCCTCGGAACAAAACCAAACAAGCCAAAAACTCTTATACGAGGTAATGGCAACCGCTGATTTCGAATATGAAGTTTTCACTTTACTGCGATGATTCTTTCCATGGTTATCCCAAGTAAACCGTAATAACCGACTTTCCAGCATTTGTCAGAAATGTGATTACACCGTCAAAAAAGCTAAAAACACTTGTAAAAAGTTGTGCAGCAGAATCAGGGTGCCCGAAAACCCTGGTATACGATTTTACAGATTTTTTGGAAAAAATTTTGTCAAATGGCATATTTCACAGTGGATCCACATGCTGAAAGTTCATACCGTAATCCTACAGTAACGAAGAGCGATCGATGTTTCGCTCTATGCTATAAATCTAAGTTGAACCTTGCTCTACAGAATGGTGCCTTATGCTCGGCGAAAGACATGAAAGCAACGGAGTTATTAACGATCAAACAGTGTTCACATTTTTTTGGGACACCTTGTAGAAAAAACGATGATCGACGTATTTAGCGTTTTCCTTAGCATAAACTTGCGCTTCTTTGGTTGCAGGTTATTTTTCAAGCCTTAATTTCTAAGCTAAGCGATAGCCAGAGTAGGCACGAGGGTGGCAAATTTTGAAGCTGAAAATTGTCTTACAGAAAAAAAGCGAGTAACGTAGAGTCGTTTTCAATACGTACTGGTCTTTTTTACCGTATGCCTTCCCCTCAACATGACGTGGATTGGCGCGGCGCCGCCTCGCTTTGGGCCCTCGCCCCGTAGCGGACGCTCGTTTAGCGTGGCGTGGCGAGAAAAGCAACGTGGCGCAAGCTCGAGGCGATGCGGCGATTCACCAATCCACCTCATAGGCTGGAAGCAGGTTTGAGCGTGGGGTCACGCGCGCCAGATCCGGGAGGGGGGGGGGAGGGTGAGGGTAAGAGCAAAGGGAGAGGATTGAATCAAGACCAAAAAATTGAGGAAATACTACAATCGAGTAAGATGAAGAAGAAAGGCGCTCAATCGTGACCACAACTCTTAGAGGAATGACAGTCGTACAGCATGCTGATTGACTCGACTAACGAAGTCTCAGCTAAATTTCAATTCCTCTAATTTACACATACGTAAGTTCACCAAAGAAGCTTTCTATGTAAATTGGGTATGATTTCCGTAATCATTATGTCCGATCACCTCAACGAGCTCCACAGATCGTTACTTATTACATTTTCTAGTGTTTCCTAACGTTTAAAAATTATGATTTTCAAACATAATTAACTTGGTCACAAAAGCGAAAGAAGTCAGCTTTTTCGTATTCATAACAAAGTACTACTCTTTATCAGTCTGTGGTAATAGTTGGACTTTGTATCACTCTCAAAAATGGATTAAGAAGTGCTGTCAGAATGCTAATCACCGCGTTTTCTGCCTCGAGTGCATTCAATTTTAGCGATCACCACAAAAGCCAAAACAAATCAAGATGAGCTCAACACCTATTGTAAAATCTTCGAGGTTCATGCTAGCGAATCATATAAAACTAAGGTGGAAGAACTTCGTCGGTGTAAAGTTATAGGGTCAGGTGCAACCCTCAAAAGGTCAGGCTGCCTGAGTATTTGAGGGGTTGCGCCTGACCCCGTGACTCGCCTTCAAAATCCAGAAATTGCTCCATTCCTGGTGTGAAAATTGAGCTCATAGCTTCTTCTTGCTACTGGAGATTTGGAGTCGAACGCCCCACCCCTAGAAAAGCTATGGCCTTTTCAAAAGGCCCATTCAGATCAAAATCAGCCGCCAAATTACGCGTAATCGTAAGGTGCAGTTATAAGAAATCGTGCGTACAGTGCTCAAATATTGAAAGCCGTCTAGAAAAGGATGTTGTCTTCCAGAATGTTGCACTCTGAGGATTCGGAAGTCAAGAGGAGTAGGAAGGGATCGTTTGAGGGCTTTCATGGGAAGGGTCGTTTTCGAAAAACTTTGTCTGACCTCTTGCTCAACTTTGGCTGGAAGGCATACGGTAAAAAAGACCAATACGTATTGAAAACGATCGTATGTACACTTTTTTTACCTACACTTACATTCTCTCCACAAGTTGCTACACCACTGGCATGCAAGAACACGATCTTGCTCGACCGTTGTTTACAAAAATATAAATTTCTTTTCAAGTAGTAATTTATTGCCTTGTTTGCAGCGCACACATAACGATATGACAAGGGTTTTTCGAGTATAGATGGACAAAAGCTCGAATGAGCGTAATGCAGAGTATGATGGAAAAATTATCTGACTTTACGACAAGTTTTTTTGAGAACTTCTCACTATTTAAAAATATCAAATGACTCGTTTGCAACACACTGATGATGATATGGCAGAAAATTTGGTGTGTATAAGGAACAGTGGGAGTAGGGAACCGAGTATGAAAAATTATGGGAGACTCTTGCGAAAAAAGCGTAAACTTTTTTCTAATTAGGTGGGCATATGCCTGTTAGGATGCAAAATAGCAATAATATCGGTGAGAGAAAAGCGCGTTTTTTTAATTGCACACGCAGCTGGCGAATCAGTGGGGAATCGTAAAAGTTGAAACTAGCAAAGGCGTTTTGAAAGATGTTCATTTTCCACCATTGTGTTGGGCCCTGGCGACAGCTTTCTCCTGCTGCATTCAAAATGGCCACGTTTATTGTATGGTTCTCAACTGCAGTGTGATTGAGCGAGATAGAAGATTCTACAGATGTTTTTGATGCTGCACATGTACTAAGAACATGCTGGCTTTGAGAAAAAGTTTAGGTTATTAACTTGAATTCTGTACCGTTTTGAACGTAAAGTAAATAGAATACTTACTGTTTGCGTGAACCATCACATGACGATAAGCGAGATCTGCTTGGCAACAAGATATATTTGTAAGTGCGAGAAAAATTTGCAAATCTTATTTCGTGCACCGTTGAAACATTTTTGAAAATTCTTTCAGGCTCCATCATGCGCAATGTGATCTTCAAAACTAAGCAACAATCTGAAAAGTCAACTCATAATCAAATCTCGTGTTATGATGTATTCGCTATGCACTAAGAGGGCATTTTTTTCGCAGTCATTCCGAGCAGCAAGTATAGGATGCATAAAAGCAGCCCGGAAGTCATATTGTTCTCAACCACACTATACTTCTAGACTTCATTAGTTTCATGCTCATAAGACTTTCTGACCGCAAATTTTTTTCTATCACACCTCGCATATATCAGGTTGGTGCGAAAGTTCGTGCTGTTTTTAGACCTATACTTGACATTCAGGATAAACGTGCTCGGCAGTCAAACACTTCAAAAACTGTTCTATGCCGAAATCCTTCCCCTTCCCAGTAGTGATGTTTCAGTTTTCAGATTTTTTGGTGCTCGCTTAAAAAAATCGTTAGAATCTTCGACCCAGAGGTTTTTACTTACCTAAACTTTTGCTATTTTTTTGTAATCTCGCCGGGTTTCTGAAGGTGTTTTATTGAAAGTTAGATAGAGTAACCAAAATGCAATGTAAACAATTTTTTGTCTCCAGCCAACTGTTCATCTTTTCCAAAATTATCATTTTAATGCTACCAAACTTGAGACTTGTTTATCCCAAAATTCGTAGAAAATTAGACCTTAAACAGCTAGGTTGTCATTCCATGCAGCTTCTTCTTCTCTTTCTGACAGATGTTTTTTCTTTTGGATTTGTAAAGGCCTCAAGGAAAAAACTGCCGTATTTCCAGTTTTCTGGTCCGTCTCGGGCGGCACCCAAAAATTTCAAAGATCGATACGTCGAGGCGGTAGAAACTCGTGCTGCTAAAATTAGTGTTGAATCATGATCGATTTTTGGAAGCTATAATTTGAAGATTTCATAGTGTTCTAAGCATTCGTATAGTACGACTTTGTAAATAAATGTGAAAGCTACTGGAAAAGTTGTTTTTGGAAGACTAAGAAGCCGTAAGCTATCGATGCCAAAGAATTAGCTTTTGTAGCAATTTGTTTTCTCTATCCAACTTGAAGCTTTTTCAAGAGCCTAGAACAAAAATTTCAAAAGATAGCTAAACTACGTTAAGCTATAGCTTACGCTTGGCTGCAGCTATAGCTTACGTAAAATGCATGCTACTGTGGCAGTTATTCGAAAAAACATTGAAGGAACCTGAACGAAAACATCACTGCTGAAAATATAAAGGAATTCTGCATAAAACAGTTGTTAGATGTTATCGTGACTATCGCTATTCTGAATGGCATGAGGATAGGTCGAAACAGCGCGAACTTTCGGGCCCACCTAATATAGTATGTTAAGTCGCTCCGAAAATACGCTTTTTCAATATATTGGAGGGCATGAAACGCTGATTCCAAACCTTAC